ATTATTAATGCTCTGGAACACCCTTATCAGGGCTCCTTTTCTAGATCTGCCACCTTGTAGCTCAAGCCCGTCCCTTGAGCTCTTGGTGTTCTTTACAAGCAGTATGGTATTTCCTCACTTCCTTTAGAGACCAGAGGTCAGACCAATGAGCTTTTAGTCTCCAGAGAGCTTTGTCTGAAAGGAAGCACCAGAGAAGTGCTTATCTTGGACTCTGTCCTCAAATAGCCAGTAATGAAAAATCCACACAGCTGGCAGAGGGGCAGCAGAAACAGGGCCCCAGCAGGAGAGGACAGCTGCAGGGTAAGCCCCAGCTATTCCCTCTGGGCCCTTCTGGGCCTGTTCGGTGGACTATGGCTTTGGTGGGAGTGTGGCAGGCCTGAAAAATCTGAGAGGAAATAATCCATTTTGCCAGGGAGTTTAATCCAGGAAAAATGAAAGAGACCTTGGCTGGTTATGATGAAAGACAGACATAGCATTGTTGAGGTTCCTAACATTTTATGAGCACTTAAAATGTACCAGGCCCTAGGCAATATCAGTTTTCATATTTAAAGTTCACTGATGAGATGTCCCCATTTTACATAGAAGGAACTTAGGCTCAGAGAGTTCATGCAATTAATTAAAATAATTACAGTTATAGCTACCTTCTATAGTTATAATGTCTTCTATATGTCAGGTGCTTTACATACATTATTTAATTATCATTAACAACCTCATGAGTAGTTATTTCCATCATGTGGATAAATTATCAGAGGTTTAGAGTTTAAGGAGCTTGCTCAAGATCACACAGCTAATAAGTGGCAGAGGCGGGATTTAGAGTCACTAAAGCCTTTCTTTTCCCACTATCCCACATAGCCTTATTTTTAGATAAAAAAAGACAGAGATTAAAGACAATTGAGAGGATTTAAATCAAAGCCAAGTGAAGGAACAGTCATTGAGTCCCTACTATTTGGGGAAAGCATGTGTATAGATGGTTTGGCTTACAAAGAAGTATAAGCACAGTCTTTCCCCCTGCAGTATATCTGAAGAGATAAAGCATAAGTATGTAAAACAATTAAATAGCATTCATTGGATAAATGACTGAAACCAGCTATATGCAGGACACTACATTAAGCCTAGCGACTAGCAGAAACATGCTTCTGGGTGCCCAGGGGGATCACACAAAGTGAAATCTCAGTCATGAGAATGGTGGGCCAGAACAGTATGCACTCAATAAGTGTTTGTTGCGTGCACACACCTGAAATAAAAGCCCTTTCCACCATCTGGACTAGAAGTTCTCAAAGCTTGCTGATCTGAAACACCTGAGAGGCTTTTAAAAACCTGACTGAAATAATTTTAAAAGAATTTTTTTCTTTCTTTTTTTTTTAATTTAAGGATGACCGGTAAGGGGATCTTAACCCTTGACTTGGTGTTGTCAGCACCACGCTCTCCCAAGTGAGCTAACCAGCCAGCCTTGTATAAGGATCCGAACCCATGGCCTTGGTGTTATCAGCACCACACTCTCCCAAGTGAGCCATAGGCCGCGCCCCCCCCCCCCAAATTTTTTTAATTAAAAAAAAAAGGAAAAACCTGATTGATCTCTGGGAGTGGGGGCCCTAGAATATACATTTTTGAAAGTTCCCCTGGTGATTGTGATGATAGGTTCAGGAACTTCTCATCTAGCTCCTACGTGGACCACTGTTGCAGGTAAGTCACTGATTGAAAACTGCTAGAATAGGTACAAATCCAAGAGCTGGCCTAAGGCAGCCTGTGATTGGTTTCCAGATGAGGGATATGGGCAGTGCTCAGAATTGAGAGGAGGAAAGTCTGGAAGGACTTGGGAAAGCTTCACAGAGGACTTAGAGATTTCACTGGGCCTTAATGGATGAAAAGGCTTCTGGATGAGCACCACCATGAATTGTTTAGAGGTGAGCAAAAGAAGGTAGAGACACCTGGACTGATTTCCTTGGAAAATTCCATGGCATTTATTAGAAATGACCCTGGAAACTCTGTATGTTCTTTGGCAGAATTTGCAAGTAAGATTGGGTTTTCCCTATCCTACTTGGGCATCAGTCAATGCGATCCTAGGAAACACAGATTCATTTTTGTGTTATCCTCACTCTGGCCCATTAGCTTGTTTAGTTTTTATTTATTTCCAAACAGAATTTAGTTGATGATCCTCTCAGAAACTTACCAGGACCACCAGAGAGTTCTGCTCCCCTCTGGCTATTTTCAAGTCCACTTATCCTGATTCTTATTCCAAGCATTGTTCTTTGTGCTGGGCGAGACAAAAATCTCTTCCCATAAGAAGTTACTGTTGTCCTGGTCACCATCTCCTGAAACCTGACTCATCTTTGGCTCTTCCCTCTCCCTTGACTCTCCAAATGCACTCAGTTGCCAAATTCACTCAATCAACAAATATTTCCTGGATATTTCCTAAGCGTCGGATACTACACTAGGTACTTTGAATGCATTACTTCACTTTATCACCATAGCAACCCTATGAGGATGGATAGTATTCACAGTGTACAGATGGGGAATTGGGCTTAGGGAGATCAGATAACTTGCCCAAGGTTAGAAAGCTAGGCAGCAAAGGAGCTGGGCCTCAATTGTGGGTCTTTCAGGCCTCATGTCTCTTATATCCATGACCTCATTTCCAGAGTGGATTACAACTCCTGAGCCTAGCACTTGAGGGACTGCAACCCTCCAAGCCTGGTCACAGCTTTCTTGTCTTTCTTTTTCTAAAAAAAAAAAAGATAACCAGTAAGAGGATCGTAACCCTTGACTTGGTGTTGTCAGCACCACGCTCTCCCAAGTGAGCTAACCGGCCATCCCTATATAGGGATCCAAACCCGCGGCCTTAGTATTATCAGCACCACACTCTCCCAAGTGAGCCACAGGCCGGCCTAGCCTTTCCTATCTTTGTGTGCCCTCTACCCCCAAGTGAAAGGAGCTTTCTTCTCAGAACTGTGGCATTTTATCTACCTCTTTTATGATAGTACTTGCAGCTGCTTCATTGTCTTGTAGGTGATGTGTGTCTCGTGGCCCCAGCTGTACGTCTTCTGTGTGGACACCCTCAACAACAAGGCGGGACAAAAGGTCAGGGTCTGAGGCTAAGCTGCACTCATCCGTGTTCACTCTGGCTAAACAACCCATGACTGCGTCAGGAGCTTAGCTTCTTTTTTAAGAATTGGGTTTACTTTAAAATTGGCCTGAGGGGAACAGGCTAGTTTTATGTTCTTGGGTAAATTACTTAACTTTATCAAGCATCAGTTTCCTCATCTGTGAAATGAGATAATAATAATATCTCAGAGGATTGTTGTCAGGATGAAATCAAATAATATATGTAAAGCACTTAGCATGGTTCCTGGCACAGAGGAAGTGTGATGATGATGATGCTGTTTGTGGTGATGGAATTGAAGGAGGGTGGGGAGCAGTGGCATCGGCCCGAGTTTAGGAAGCAGCTAAGTCATAGGAATGTTATCCAGTAGGATGTGGGCCCAGCTGTCGTGGTGAAGGCTCTGATCTCCTGTCCACATCATACTTCTCCCTATCTCTACCTTTTTTTGCTTCTATATTATGTCTTGTCTAAAAGTGCTTTCCTGCTCCTTCCCTGCCTCTCTGAACTTCCTCACCTTTCAAGGCTCACTGTGGTGAGTGACTTGAGGTCAGTGACTTTGTATATGAATAATTGAGTCTCTGCATGAGCAGGATCAATAATGGTTATGAGCTCAGCTTCTGCACTGACAGACCTGGGTTTGCCACCTATAAACAAGGTAACTTGGGAAACTTATTCAACCTCTCTATGCCTTAGTTTCCTCATCTGCAAAATGGTGCCCTTTTTTTTGGTTTTTATTTTTGATGGGAGGGATCCTCGGCACAAATTTACTTGGTCAGCTGGATCTTAAGCTGCTTCTTTTAGGCACATAGTAAGATGGCATTTTCTCCCTTTTAGAGGTAGGTGCCTGGCATATTGTGGGCAGTCATTGAATAAAAAATTAATAAAATATTTCCCATATGTGTTCCCTTTAAATACACACAGTTTGAGAAACTCCAAGTGTCTGCAGGGTGAGCATTCCCTGCAGTTAATCCATGGGATGAATGCGATGAGTATCTCTAATTATCTCTAAGAAGAACACCACGAAGGGCTGGCCCGTGGCTCACTTGGGAGAGTGTGGTGCTGACAACACCAAGGTCGCGGGTTCGGATCCACTAATGGTTTTTTTTTTTTTTTTTAAAGATGACCGGTAAGGGGAATCTCAACCCTTGGCTTGGTGTTGTCAGCACCACACTCAACCAGTGAGCGAACCGGCCATCCCTATATAGGATCCGAACCCGGGGCTTTGGTGTTATCAGCACCGCACTCTCCCGAGTGAGCCACGGGCCGGCCCGCACTAATGGTTTTGATCATGACACAATTTGGAATTCTTCTTCCATTAGTCTCAGAGGCTAGGAAGTCCATAGTCCAGGGAACACATCTGATGAGATCCTTGCTGGTGGGTAGTGAGATACTTCACAGCAAAGCAGGGTATCATGTGGCAGATGGCAGAAGCAGAGAGCAGGGCCTTAACAGTACCTACCTCAGAGAGTGGTTGAGAGAATGAAGTGAAGTAATGTACGTAAAGGGTTTAGCACAGTGCTGACAGAGTAAATGATAGATCTTAGTGGTTTATTATTATCCTCTTGAGGGCAAGGTCTGTGTCATATTCTCTGCAGCAGTCATTGCTCTGCTGGGCACTTAGTAGGTGCTGAATAAACACTTGTTAGTGGATTTTGAATAGTATGGAGGCTCTCTCCTCTTTATGACCATCTCCTCACCCCACCAAACAAAAATGAAAGCAGCCCCTAAACTTTGGCAAAGTCAGTGTAACAAAGTAGATGATTTGCAAGTTTTAATGAGTGACTGGCAGGGAGGTTGGAGTGACAAGGAGAGCTGGACAGGGTTGGCAGAGGACACTATGAGCAACAGGAAGCCAGGAGGAAACCAGCAAGAGGCTGTTCTGTGTTCCACCCTCCAGCCATCAAGTTCAGCACCGCCCGAGTCATTTGATTCAACTGACGATGAAATGGGGATCAGCCAGTCCGTGGGCTTTCCACCTGTCACAGGACCCCACCTCGTAGGCTGCGGGGATGTGATGGAGGGCCACAGCCTCCAGGTAAGTGTCTTCAGCTCTGCTCCTGCACATCTCCACTACTTCTGCTTGTAATGTGACTTATTGATTGAAAATCTGATTGTGCAATTCCAGGTGGGGGAAACTGAGTCAGAGCTGGTCTGGATTTAGTTATCAAGCCCCCTGTTTCTCTGACCTTTTTCTTCTTCTTTCTAAGTATTAGAAACATCCCAATAGACAGAGATGGTGGGTAATTTTTCCAGCTAGGAGACAAGGGGTGCTCTAGCTTCAAAGGCAGCTTACAGATCCTCTCACCTGTTTTGAGGGCAGATGCCTGATTCTGGAAAGGTTTTTCATCTCACCCTAATCTGAGTGTATGGGAGGAAGAACAATGGGCCATGTGCCATTGGCCTTTGACTCCCAACCTGGGTAGGACAGTCTCCCTTTTTCCTCTCCTGCTTCCATCTGCTTTCCCCTCCTGCTTTGACTCCTGGACTTGTCCTCCATCAGTTCCTAGGTCTTTCCCTGCTGGCCCTTGTACTCCCCCTCTCTGTGTGAGAGGCACACACTTCCTGGTAACCCCTCACCTACTCCAATGTAAAATGAGTGTGCTGCTGCTTACCAAGGGCCAGCCTGGAGGAGTGGCCCGGGTGACTCACCGATACCACCCTGTTCAGTACAAGGGCCAATCTCTAGCTCCTGGGGCTCCTCCAGGCCCGAGCTCAGGGCCAGATTTAAATCTTTTCAGTGTCCCAAGCACTCAAAATATTTTGGGTGCCATCCTCCAGATGTAATTCAAAATATAGTTGGCTATTCGAAATAACATAAGCCTACGTATGCTAAAAATGAAATTGCTTCTTTCTGGATTTTCTGAATGTAAGTTTCCCCATTTTAGTGCCTGCTGAGTGTGCCTGTTGGGAAATCTAGCAGGGCTTGAGCTTCTTGTCTGAGCAGCTGCTTTTTTCTTTCCTGCAGGGGAGTTTCTTTCGACTCTTCTATCCCTGCCAAGAGGCAGAGGAGACCACGGAACAGCCCCTGTGGATTCCCCGCTATGAGTATTGCACTGGCCTGGCTGATTACCTGCAGTTTAACAAGCGCTGGGGGGGGTTGCTGTTCAACCTGGCCGTGGGTAAGGGCTGGCCTGATCCCCGATGATTTCCCAGTTGCTTGGGAGACTTCCAGCAGACACAGTACCTTAAAGCTCATACTGTCCAGCCCGTTTGTAGTGGGGCATCCATTAGCCAGTGTGATGTCAAGAGCTGGAAAAGAATTACACATGTAAGAGTTTTCATTATCGAGTTAGACTGTTCTTGTCATTTGTTAGCTGTGGGCCTTGGGCAAGTTACTTAACCTGTCCGAATACCTACATTTGCAGGGTTGTAGTGTGGAATGTATGTAAAGCCTCTTATGCAGTGCTTGGGACATAGAATGTGTTCCATAAATGGCAGCTATTACTCATTTATTCAGCCTGTATTAATTCCCACTCTCTGCTAGCAATTGTGTAGATCAAAGAAACATTCTTAACTATCAAGGAGTGTACAGTCTCCTGCAGTTCACCTCCAGTCCTCCCCTCTTCTGGATAGGGCCACACTGAATCATCCATTTCCCCCAAAGGCCCCACTCCTAGAAATTCTACCCACTGCCTTGGCATATCAGTGATTTACCCCAGTATTGTCCCTTTCAGTACTGTCCCTTTGGATTTATCTTCTCATTTTCTATTGTGTTTATTCTCCTGATGGAAGAAGGAAAAAAAATAGGTTCTTGATTACCCTGGGCTGCTCAGTGGTGAATGGTAGTTTTCCAGAGGGAAGGAACACATGTCCCCACCTATGCCTATGCCCAGGCTGCCCTTGGGCTTATAGCTTTGGGGCAACCAGAGATTCTATAGTTCATGTCTCTGCTAGGATCTTGTCGCCTGCCTGTTAGCTGGAATGGCCCTGTTAAGACAAAGGACTCTGGATACCCCTTGATCATCTTCTCCCATGGCCTGGGAGGCTTCAGGTAAGACCTTCTCTACCCCAGACTTTGCCATATTTCTTGCCTAGTGACAGCTGCTGAGTCTTAACTTATTCTCAAAGGGCAGAAACACAGACATTTCTTTCTGCTAGCTGTCTTATCACCCATCTGCTTCTTCCCATAGCACTGGGTCTGTCTTCTCTAGATGGCCTTTCCCAAGCTGCCTTCACCTGCTGGAGCCTTTCAGCAGCCTTCGCATCCCGCGCTTCTCATGTTCCAGCATTGATGTAGACACTTTTAATTTTCTTCCTGGATAACAGCCCAGAAATACTAGAAGGCACTTGAGGTTTATAGTTGGAGAGTCATTTATTCAACATATGTTGAGGGACAACTCTGTGTGTGGCACTGGCGCAGCGGTAAATAAGATAGACTTGCTGCCTGCACTCATGGAGCAAGCGGCCTAATCTGCAAATCTCAGCTATCCTACTTGTGTTCTTGTGAGCTTGGGAAAGTTGTATAACTCTCTGATGCTAGATTTCATCATCTGCCAAGTGGGGATGCTGCTCCCACAGGGTGGTTTGCGAGGATTCGGTTAGGTTGGCACCTACTAGGTGTACACCCCTGTCACTTCTCTCCCATTCTCTGCAGAGAGGGACATGGTGAACTGTAAACCTCTTTAACAGACTTTAGGAAATGGGCTTAAGTTTCATAATTCAGTATCCATTCAGAATTCTTCCCATGAATTCTGATTTCTACACCTTGCTGTGTTGTAGAGCTTAATAATTGTAGTACATGCATTCCTATTTAAACTTGTGAGTGTTCTCTCTGTTCATCTTCCAACATATATGCCTAGTTGGTGTCCCAGAATGTTACACGTCCCAAAGGCATCTATTTTTGCCTCCGCATCCTGAAACCATTGTCCACACTGTAGCCAGGAAGATAATCAAATATAATCTTGTCATTCCAGCACCTAGAACAGTGCTTGGCATATAATAGGGCTCAATAAATATTTGTTGAATAAATGAATGAATGTTCCTCCCCTACTTAAGACTTTAAAATAGCTCTTTGAACTTAATTCAGTTCTTCTCATTGTCTTACCTGGATGCAGGTCCAAGAGAAAGTTTCTAACCTTGTTTCTTGCTCCTTGCCTGACTCGAGCTCTCTAGACACACTGACCTTTCACTTACTCAAAAGCAATATTATTTCCTGCCTTGGAGTCTTCATCTGTGCTGTGCTTTCTGGCTATTTCCTTTGCTGGAATAATCACTGTTCTGCTCTTCTCTTCCTCTTTCCCTCTTTCTGTTTTGCCTGGCTAATTTCAAGTTACCTTCAAGGTCTTAGTTTGGATGTCACTGTCTTAAGGACACCCATCCTGACCCCTATATTATATTAGGTTAAGTTTTCCAGTAATGTGCTTCATAAGACAATCTGTACTTCTCGGTACTTAACATATTTATAATGAATTAATTACTTGTGTAATTATTTTTTAATGTCTGTCTTTCCTACTAGATGGTAAGCTCCATGATGGTAGAGAATATGTCTGTCCTTCATTGCTCCCAGGACCTAGGACAGTGCCTAGAAAGTGGTAGTTCCCCAATAGATATTTATTGAATGAATACAAGGGCTGTGTTTGCTAGGTTCTCACTCATTCAGCAAACATCTGTTGAGCACCTGCTCTGTGCCAGCCCCTTGGCATGAGAGGAAGGTGGAATATATAGAGGTAAACAAATCAAGGAAATTGCATCTATATTCTAGAGGAGCCAGAATATAGAGTCACATAAGTATAGCCCAGACAGGAAGTGAAGCGTAGATGTAGAGATGAGGCTAGAAAAGCAAGTAGATAGTCTTCAATGTTGCTTTTCCCCTTTTTTCTTTTTTTTTCTTTTTTTGGTGGCTGGCCAGCAATGTCGCTTTAAGGTTGCATGAATTGAGTTCCTGCTTTGTGCCAAATTTGGGCATTCAGCAGTGGGTAAGAGAGTCCCTGACTTTAGGAATATTATAGACTAGCAGGGGAAAAAAATCATTTCGTCCTGAGCCCACAGGTGTTTATAGAGAGAGCAGATGAGCACATGACTTTGGAGGTGGTCTTTTGGGTCTAAGAATCTTTATTGAGACTTTACACTTCACTAGACCCGGGTGAGCCAGTTATAACTATTCTTCACTAGGGCTGGTTGGTTAGTTGAGTTGGTTAAGCATGGTGCTGATAACACCAAGGTCCAGGGTTCAATCCTTGTACTGGTCAGCCACACACACACTAAATAAATAAATAAATAAATATTCTTCACTAACCAGAGTGAAATTCCAAGAAAAAGGGCAGGGAGGATAAGTGACATTGTTTCCTCTTGTTGCATCTGTGGTTAGTTTGGGTTCTGAAATCCTTCCTGTGGGTCATAAGCCTATGGCTTCCCAGCCCAAGGAGGAACATGTGCATTTAGATACTCCCTAACCTAGCCATTTGCACAGAGCCATTGTCTCATTTGGTTCCCACACATTCCTGTGAGGCAGGCAGGTGGGGATGCATATTTTACAGACGAGCAAACAGGCTCTGAAAGGCAGACTTGCCCTAGGTTACACAGTTTGAACTGGGAAGAGGTCAGAAATCTCTCTGGCTCTTAAGTCCAGTTTGCTGCCTCCCGCCAGAAAAGTGGGAGAAGGTAAAAAGAAGCTTAAACTGACCTTTCTGTATCAATTAGGATTTGGGCAAGTTGTATTCAACAGAAAATTCCCGGGGCCGGCCCGGTGGTGCACTGCTACAGTGCGCCGCTTGGGAAGTGCGGCGGCGCTCCCACCGAGGGTTCGGATCCCACATACAGACCAGCCGCTCACTGGCTGAGCGAGGTGCGGGCGCAACACCAAGGGTTGCGATCCCATTGCCGGTCCCGGTCCGGTAGGGGCGCGACACTGAGGGTTGTGATCCATTGCCGGTCACAAAAAAAGACAAAAAGGGAAAAAAAAACAAAAAAAAAACAGAAAATTCCCAAGTAACAGTGACTTAAACATGATAAAGTTTATTTCTCGCTCAGGTAAAAGAAAGCTAGAGGTAGACAGTTAGGGTTGATATGGTAGTTCCATGATATTATCAGAGAACCAGCCTTCTCTTATAATCTTGCTCTGTCATGCATGGCTTCCATTTCCAAGGATATCACATGACCCAGGGTGGCTGCTTTAGTTCTAGCCATTACATCCACATTCCAGGCAATAGGAAAGGAGCACTGTCTTTTTTTTTTTTTTTTAAGATTACAGGTAAGGGGATCTTAACCCTTGACTTGGTGTTGTCAGCACCACACTCTCCCAGTGAGCTCACCGGCCATCCCTATATGGGATCCGAACCTGTGGCCTTGGTGTTATCAGCACCACACTCTCTCGAGTGAGCCATGGGCTGGCCCCAGCACTGTCTTTTTTAAGGTGATTTCCTTGAAAGTTCTTTGTGACACAACTGCTTACATCTCATTATCTAAAACTGCTCTGTCCATTATAGTGACTTCTAGCTTCATGTAGTGTCAAACACTTGAAATTCGGCTGGTCCAAACCAAGATATGTTGCAAGTGTAAAATATATACTGGATTTCAAAGACTTCATATTTTAAAAAAGAATATAATATTTAATTTCAAAATTTTGATTATATGTTGAAATTATATTTTAGCTATGATAGGTTAAATAAAATATATCATTAAAGTTAATTTCACCTGTTCCCTTTTACTTTTTAAAATACGTCAACTAGAAAATTTTTAATTACTTATGAGGGTAGCATTATATTTCTAGTGGACCATGCTGGGCTAAAACTTAACCCCAAAGACAAAGCTGGCAGTAGGGGAGGCTGGGCAATATAATATTTTGATGGTGTGACGTTGACTTCAGCTGAAAATCAGATTCTGTTATTAAGGAGGAAGGGAAAAATAGGTGTTTGAAGTAGGCAATTAGCAGTGTCTGCCAGATTCCTTTTTTTTTTTTTTTTTTTTTTTTTTCCTGGGAAGCTGGAGGACAGGCAAAGAATCCACCTGCTAAATTACAGATGAGTTGCATATTAAAGAAATAGGCTGGCTGATTAGCTCAATCGGTTGGAGCACCACCTTGTGACACCAAGGTCGAGGGTTTGGATCCCCATACCAGCCAGCTGCCAAAGATAGTAATACTAAAGAAATAGCCAGAGTCCCTCTCCTCGAGGAGCTTACCAACTAAATTGGGAGACATACAATATTTAGATAATAAAAATGCAATTGAAGTAGCCAAAATATATTTGGGGAGTGGGGCTAAGCTGACTCAGTGTTTGCATGGGGTTGATTTGCAAATACGTCCTGGAGGAGGACTCTGGAGCTTAGGTGAGAGAAGGGCTATGCTGGCTGGAGAGGGCACCTGGAGAAGAGCCGCCCCACCTGAAGCTTCCTCCATTCAGTCTTTTGAGATGGCTGTTAGCAGAGCATGGGTGGAATGGGGGTGAAGCCTGGGCCGTTCTTTTGATCCCTTCTCCTTGTTCCTTTTTGAATCTGTAGGACATTGTATTCAGCCTTCTGCATGGAGCTGGCCTCCCGTGGCTTTGTGGTTGCTGTGCTAGAGCACAGGTGAGAGGTGACAGTCATGAACTGTCATGGGTTGGGTGCCTGCAGTGAGCTAGGATATAGGCTAGTCCCCTATCAATATATTATTTCTAACTTCCCCACAACCATACAAGGCAGGTATCATACACATTTTAGAGAGGAGAAAACCAAGATTCAAAGATGTTAACTAACTTGCCAAAAGTGACACAGCTGAGTTGGGGATCAGACCCAGGTTTGTCTCTAAAATCCATGTTTTTTCTTCTCTCCTATGCATGCCACCAGGCCTCCTTCCCTAGTAGCCAAAGGGTGATCCAGAGTGTCTTGGCTGAAAGGGAGGAGTTAAGTTCAAGAGTGTTTTCTGGGCTGACGGGATAGCTCAGTTGGTTAGAGTGTGGTGCTGATAACCCCAAGGTCAAGGGTTCAAATCCCTTTACCTTCTAGCTGCCAAAAAAAAAAAAAGTGTCTTCTGGTTTCTCTCTGATGACCTGTATTTCAGGGACCAGTCAGCTGCAGCGACCTATTTCTGCAAGCAAGCCCCAGAGGAGAACCAGCCTAGCAATGAGTCACTGGAGGAGGAATGGATCCCTTTCCATCGAATTGGGGAAGGAGAGAAGGAATTCCATGTTCGGAATCCCCAGGTAGGCTTGTGCCAGTCGGGGAGGGAGAATTAATAAGCCTGTCCTCTCTATCCTATACTCACTAAGTGAGACTTTTAACTAACTCTCTCCCTCAAAATCTCAATCATTGTGGGTCTGAGTTTGCCACATCAGTGCAAATAAATGGGGTATTAATTAGGACTCCTACAATAGCCAGTGACAGAAATCCAACTTAAGCTTGCTTAGGCAAAAAAGGGAATTGATTGGCTCTTATAAATAGACTATAGGAAGGACAAGACCACAGGAACCAGACTCAAATGCCATCGGGACTTGCTCTTCATTCTCATCTTGGTCTCTCTGCTGGTTGATCTCATATGCAAACTGGCTTTCCTTCTGAGGTTAGAACCACAGCCCTTGAGAGCTCTGAGCTTGCACGTGTTCAGCCTCATCATCTGAAAAACTACGGTTGTTTAGGGGTTGTTCCTTCAGTCTCCCACCCCCGTGTGAAACTGTAGTTTGAAAAGTCCTGTTGGGCCGGCCTGTGGCTCACTCGGGAGAGTGCGGTGCTGATAGCACCAGGGCCACGGGTTCGGATCCCATATAGGGATGGCCGGTTCGCTCACTGGGTGAGCGTGGAGCTGACAACACCAAGTCAAGGGTTAAGATCCCCTTACCGGTCATCTTTAGAAAAAAAAAAAAGTCCTGTAGAGGGATTTCTGGCTTGGGGAGAAATACCAAAATGGGATGTTCTCACCAGAAATACATTACCATAAATACATTGTTAAATTTGCAGGAAGAGGGCAGTCCTCAAAAGGCGAGGCTAAGGGGCTGCGGTGGTAAGTGCTAGGCAGACAAAAACAATAGATGTGTGCTATAAATGGGTAAGTAGAATCCAGTACTGGATTGCTAATAAGAACACTCTTGGGCCAGCCCCTGGCTCACTCGGGAGAGTGTGGTGCTGATAACACCAAGATCACGGGTTCGGATCCTATATAGGGATGGCTGGTTAGCTCACTGGGTAAGCGTGGTGCTGACAACACCAAGCCAAGGGTTAAGATCCCTTACCAGTCATCTTTAAAAAAAAAGAACACTCTTAATTCCTTTTGTTTTCAAAATGCTTTCATGTGCACCATATCATTTAATCCTCTTGATAACCCTGTGGGTAGGTAGGTAGAGTCTGATTCACAGGGGCAGACTCGTTAATACGGTGAGGTGGTGCTTACGTGAGCTGCGTGGGAGCTGTCCTTTCTCAGGACGTGGGGCCCACAGTGCTTGTAGAGATATGGGTGGGCAAACTATCCCTGCTCTGTAGGTGAGTGAGATTCTTGCTGGGTGGTTGTGGAGTGTTCCACCTCCCACTAGGACTGTGTTTGTTGCAGGTGCATCAGCGGGCAAGTGAGTGTACCCGGGTGTTGAAGATCCTGCAAGAGGTCACTGCTGGGCAGAATGTCCTCAACATCTTGCCCGGTGGGTTGGATCTGATGACCTTGAAGGTATGGCAGCAATTGGTGTGACCCAGAGCCCACGTATTCATCAGGACTTTCTTGGTTATGAGTAACAGACACCTAACTCACTAGCTTAAACCAAAAGAGAATTTATCAGCTTACTTAACTAGGAAGACCAAAGACTGACTTTAGGCCAGTGTAGCTAGATCCAAGATCTCAGACATTGTCACCAAAGTTCTGGCACGCCTCTCTCCCTTCTCCTGGCTCAGTTTCTGCTTGTATATGTGGGCTTCATTCTTACCAGACAGTCTTCTTTAGCCAAGAAAGAGGTTGCTGACAGCTCAAACTTGCATGGCAAGTCACAGCTCCAGATTTAAAAAGAAAAGAGACTCTCTTGGCTTCCACTAATCGGGGAGGGCTGTGGCCCTACTTGGATCACATGCCCTTTCTGGGGCAATCACTGTGCCGGAGGGAGAAGATATTTTGATCGTCCTGCCCAGGTTATATACCCACCTCTGGGTCAGAGGAACTTGAGCACTGGGATTGATGGCTCCACCAGGACCACACAGATAGGGGAGACGGTTCATTCCCCAAAGGAAGGACTGTTGAGCAGCAGACACCTGTGTCTATTACAGGCTAATTCCTTACTTTGAAGGGAATCCCAAGAACCTTCCCAGGAGGATTTGAAACTATCCTAGCTATGGAATTTGGTGCCTATGAAGGTACATTCTCCACTCCCCACCCAATCTTTTTTCCTCCCTTATTTCAAAAATAGCTCAGGCTCTAGTCAGAGAACTCTGAAATCAACAAAAGCATGAAGAAAAAAAGAAATAATTTTTTTTTATATTTTGATTTTGACATTTGTCCTTCCAGTTCCAGACACTCAAAAACAGTGTGCCTTCTCATATTAGTTAATATTTTTCTATGGCATGGTTTTTTGTTTTGTTTTGTTTTGTTTTGTGTTTGGTGGCTGGCTGATATAGGGATCTGAACCGTTGACCTTAGTATTGTCACCCCCACACTCTAACCAAGTGAGCTAATTGGCCCGTGCTGGTGGCATGGTTTTTAATAGCCATGTAATATTCCATTGTATGGGTAAGAATGGTGTGTATACACACACACACACACACACACACTCACACATATATTAACAATTGCTGCTTTATGATACTATGATGAAAGCATCTCACACAAAACTTATGAAGTAAGTATTGTTACCTCTTTACATAGAAAGAAACCAAGGATCAAAAAGGCTAAGTGTCTACCCAAGATGACTCAGCTAGGTAAGTGATAGGGTCAAACTTTCAACTGGGGCTTTTTGGTCCTAAAGCCTGTGTTGTTGCCCCAAAGCCTCTTCAGAAAATGTGTTTTAAAGGCTTTGGTAATGTCTTCCAGGGAGAGGTATCTGCCGCGATGGCCAGTAGGTAAGGCAGAACCTGTAATTTAGAGTGCTTTACCAAGTGTTTATGTCATCACCCTCCGTCCTTCCCCAGATAAGCAGGGGCTCTGGGCACTGAAGTCCAGGCCTGCATGCCTGGGAGCCCAAGACAGGCATTGGGGAATGGCAGGCGACTGTCCAGTTGGATTAGTTAAGAGGTAGCCTTTTGGGGGAAATACAGAATTTAAAAAGCTAAGTAAATTTTCACCTATCAGATAAGATCCAAAAATTGATTACTCACTCTGTTGACAAAGCTGTGGGGAAGTAGATATTCTCCTCCATTGCTGGCGAGAGTACGAATTGTCCCATGATGGGCAGTTTGGCAATAGCTATCAACAGTACAATTGCACATATTCTTTGATCCAGCAATTTCCACCTCTGGGAATTTATCTTACAAAAACCTGCACACCTGCAACAATACGTATGTACAAGGTTATTCCTTCCAGTGTTGTTTGTAATAGCAAAAGATTGATAGTAATGTAAATGCTCACCAATAAGGGAACTGGTTTTTTACCTGTCTGTAAAAAATGGGTAAGGAAGCTCTTTATGTTCTAATATTGTTATACAAAAAAAGTAAGCTACGGTACTACTTGTGTAAAAAGAGGGGAAAGTATGTATTCATGTGTTTTTGTTTNTAAGATCCAAAAATTGATTACTCACTCTGTTGACAAAGCTGTGGGGAAGTAGATATTCTCCATTGCTGGCGAGAGTACGAATTGTCCCATGATAGGCAGTTTGGCAATAGCTATCAACAGTACAATTGCACATATTCTTTGATCCAGCAATTTCCATCCATTGCTGGCGAGAGTACGAATTGTCCCATGATGGGCAGTTTGGCAATAGCTATCAACAGTACAATTGCACATATTCTTTGATCCAGCAATTTCCACCTCTGGGAATTTATCTTACAAAAACCTGCACACCTGCAACAATACGTATGTACAAGGTTATTCCTTCCAGTGTTGTTTGTAATAGCAAAAGATTGATAGTAATGTAAATGCTCACCAATAAGGGAACTGGTTTTTTACCTGTCTGTAAAAAATGGGTAAGGAAGCTCTTTATGTTCTAATATTGTTATACAAAAAAAGTAAGCTACGGTACTACTTGTGTAAAAAGAGGGGAAAGTATGTATTCATGTGTTTTTGTTTTTGGCTGCTGACCAGTGTGGGGATCTGAACCCTTGACCTTGGTGTTACAACACTGCTCAAACCAGCTGAGCCAACCAGCCAGCCTATATTCATGTTTACTTGTATATACGTAAACAATCTCTGCAAGGGCACATAGGAAACTGTTACCTGTTTGGGAGTAGGAAGTGGGCAACTATGTGGAAAAGAAATGGGGTAGGTGGGAGACTTCTCTGCACACTTCTGATTTTAGAGGTATATGAATATATTAACCTACTTATTAAAAAGAAGCTGAGGAGGCCATCCAACCGAGTTGCTGATCTGAAGGAACCGAGTGAAGGGAGAGAAGTTAGGTACAAAGCCCTGGGATGGAAATTGTGGAGAGCAGAGGAGAGCAAGGCTTCAGAGCAGAGTCTGGGCAGCAAAGCCAGGAGAGGTTTCCCAAGCCTCTTAGCAGACAGCTGCAGTGGCTTTTTATATAACCATGCCCTGAAGGCTTCTGGAGATGACCAGAAATAGATGCTTGCAGAGCAGGTTAGAATGAGCAGACTCACTCTCTCTTCCCCTGAGCTTTGGATAAAAATCGGGACAGACATCCAAAGAGGAAGTGGAACCTAAGTTGGTTTCTGCACAGGCAGTCCTTGCTCAAGAGCAAAGTGGACGGGCAGCAGGAGGTCCCCCATTCTACTCTCAACTTGGTCCATGTGTTATCTCCTCGGGCCAGTTAATGGAGACAGCTTATTCTTCATATGCTCATAGACTGACGGATCAGTGTGGAATTTGACAGTTTTCTATACAATTACAAAACTAAGGATGAAAAACATGCTTCTCAGAATTCCTGGTTGCAGAAGTCTGTTCAGTCCAAGGGTTGCCAGTAGGCAAGAGGTTCTTACCGTGTGCTTTTGGTGGGCTCACCAACTGTACCGTGCCTTTGGCTTCATTGCTTCACTATTTCTTCCTCTTGCCCCCGAGGAACTCCTGTAAAAGCACCCTGAGTTTCTGACGTGGCTAAGTTCCCTGCTTTCCTCAGGGGAGCATCGACATGAGCCGTGTGGCTGTGATGGGACATTCATTTGGAGGGGCCACATCTATTCTGGCATTGGCCAAGGAGACCCAATTTCGGTGAGTTTCCCAGTGATGCTGCCATTAGCTCCACACACCATTCATTCATTCAGCAAGTATTTGTTGCACATTATGTTCTAGGCACTGTTTGTAGGGCTGGGGATCCAGTGGTGAACAAGAAAATATCTGATTCATGGAATTATGTTGTTGTGGGAGACAGATTAAAGTTAATAGATAAGAAAATCCCCAGCACTCAGTGCAATGAAGAAAATAAAACAGGATGATACATTAAGAGTGTCTGGAGGCTTCTCAGAGAAAGTGATATAAACCAAGACTGGAAATGTAGAGAAGCCAGCCATGTAAAGATCTAGAAGAAGATCATTCCAACCAGCAGGAACAGCTAGTATAAAAGCCCTGAGGAGGAAAGAAGCTTGCTCTGCAGTGGGGGAGGAGCTAGGGAGAGGGAAGCAATTTAAGGTGTGATCAGAGAGATAAGCAA